GTTGAGTAATATTTTGTAGTTAAAAATATAGATTTATACTTGTATTATTATTAATTTTTATTTCTTTTGAAATTAAATGATAAACCTAATCTTCGAAAAGTAAAAAAAATTATTTTTTTACTTTTCACACTAAAATATTGCTTCTAGGTCAAAACATTGACGTTTTTACTATAATTCGCAAAAATGATGCTAAATGTATCGTTTTATCCCATTTAAAAGTGAACTCATCTCTAAACTCAATTAGTTATTTTACAATGAAATTAAAAAATTTCATAGCACGCAAATTCACCTGTTTGACATGCACCAACAATTTTCTTTTGTTTTAAGTAACAATTGCTATGTTTATATCAAGATAACATTCAATTTTATCTAAAATGAAAAAAAAAATGACGCAGAATGCAGTATTCCGCACATCAAAATTCGATATATGATACTTTTTTGAGACACCCTAATATATATTATATATATATATATATATATATATATATATATATATATATATATATATATATATATATATATATATATATATATAATATATATATATATATATATATATATATATATATATATATATATATATATATATATATATATATATATATATATATATATATATATATATATATATATATTATATATATCTATATATATATATATCTATATATATATATATATATATATATATATATATATATATATATATATATATATATATATATATATATATATATATATATATATATATATATATATATATATATATATATATATATATATATATATATATATATATATATTATATATATATATATATATAGATATATATATATATAGATATATATAATATATATATATAATATATATATATATAGATATATATATATATTATATATATATATATATATATATATATATATATATATATATATATATATATATATATATATATATATATATACATATATATATATATATATATATATATATATATATATATATATATATATATATATATATATATATATATATATATATATATATGAAAACTTTTTATTGCCGACAACTTTTTTTTGTTACTTAATATATATATATATATAGATATCATATTATCTAAAATTTATTTTAACATAAAACTTTTTTATGTTAAAATAAATTTTAGATAATATGATATCTATAGGTATTTTGATGATTGGATCTGAGTTTTTCACTTAATAATGCATTGAAAAAAATTCAAATAAAAACTAGTTCAATTTAGTTTTTTTGAATATTTTTGTTTCAAATAACATTTTAAATATTCAAACATTGTTTTGTTTAATTGTTTTATTGTTTAAAATTTTCAAAAATTTTAAAAACATATTTTACTGTTAATTGATCAGTTAATGGACCATGTTTGCAAAACACCGAAAAAAATAATAATAATAAGTTGTTAAAATAATATAGATTCATAATCTTATTTCTGAACGAATTTAAAAAAAAATTTGTTATTACAGATAAATTTTACGCGCAAAAAAAAAAAAAAAAAAAAAAAAAAATTAATTTTCGGTGCCAAAAAATTAACTCAAAGATATGTGGGCATAGGGGCATATTATAAAGGTATCATATTAGGTGGTAAAGGTGCATATTTAAATTGGGTAATTTTAAAGTAAGGTTTCCTGTTTTGGTTGGTTTGTGAAATAGAATAAACTAAGTTTTGTTAGCGTTGAGTGAAAATTTATTACAAACAAACCATTCGCTTACTTTGTTTACTTCTTCATTAACTACATTTAAGAGGGTTTTAATATCCCTATGAGATTAAAACAGACTGGAGTCATCCGCGTTCCTAAGACTGAGCCTTGAGCAACAACTTGATTATTTTATAATTTTGTTCGTTTTAACATTTCCATATTGAATGTCTTTATGATTTTTGCTGTCTTTATGATTTTAGGTTTTCTTTAAACCATAGTAAATTATTGTTTTTTATTCCATAATGTTCAAGCTTTTTTTAAAGAATGACAGGGTTGACTTGTCAAAGGTTTTAGACAGAAAAATAAAGACTCCTAATGTAAAACGGTCATCATTAAAGGCATAAGTAACATGAGTTACTAACTCGGTCGAAGCGTGATCAGTTGAATGATGTTTTGTACAGCCAATTTGCTTGTTGTACGACATGTTATCTACTTTTAAGTCGTTGTTTAGCCTATTATATATTATACGTTTGAGTAACTTAGAAAAGCATGGTAAAACTGATATTGGTCTGTAATTTGAAGAACTCGTGTCATCAAAAATTAAAAATTGCACAAGACTTAAGCAATTTTTAATTTTTCTGGAACTGTGTCAGATTCAAGAGAAAGATTAAAAATGTGATGTAAAAAAGTTTCTATAATATGAAAAACTGATTTAACAACATTTATGCTAAGATTATCAAAACACTTGTATTTTTTTAAGATTATCTAGAGCAGATCGTAACTCATTAATATCTAGCTTAGATTCGTCCATGACTTTATCATATTTTTTTAAATAAGAATGATACGATGATGAACTTGATGGAATTTTTTCAGCTAAGTTTGGACCAATATTAAGAAAGAAGCTGTTTTTTTTTTCGAGTGCTTTAAAGAAACAAAGATTTTTTATGTGTAAAGATTGCATTAAAAACATTTTTATAAAAGGTAAATATTATAAAGGTGCATATTATAAAGGTGCATATTATAAAGGTGCATATTATAAAGGTGCATATTATAAAGGTGCATATTATAAAAGAGCATATTATAAAGGTGCATATTGTAAAGCTGCATATTATAAAGGAGCATATTATAAAGGTGCATATTATAAAGGTGCATATTATAAAAGTTCATATTATAAAAGGTACATATTATATATGCACTAGCTGTGTTAGAATATAAAAAATTTATTAAAAAATGACATTAGAAAACACATTTGAATGTTCAATAAATTAATAATAAATTAACTTGCTTGGTATGATACTTATAAAACATACACACACACACACGCACACTAATCGCTCACTTGGCAGTATTGGTTGAAATTCAAGTCTTAAAGGCTCTTATTTAAATATAGCGGCGGAATTTATGACTTTGAAACCATTAGATCTTTATATTTATTGCTAACAATATATTTAAACAGTTCAAACTTAGCAAAAACGTTTCTTTACTTTTTGCCTTTTAATAATTAATGACGTCGTTAAATAAAAAAAAAAATTTTAAATATTGTAAATATTCAATAATTTCTTTTAATATACAGTTTTAGTGTTACCAGTAACTCTAAGGTTAATTTAAAAGACATTGAAAAATCCCTTTTACCCTAGTAGTCGGTAAAATGCGATTTTTTTGCAAACTAACACATATTTTGATGACCATCAGTTGTCATTAGTTGACATATTTTGATGACCACTATAGTCATTAAAATATTAGTTAAATAATAGTTTATAAATTATTATTACTTCAATATGCATAGCAAATAACAGGATAAAATAATTTTAGAAAACTTTGAAAACAAATTTATATTGTTGCCACTTACTAGTTACAATAAAAAAACTCAAAAAAAAAATACTTAAGGTGTTTTTCCAAAGGGGTTTTCTAAAAACTTTATCATCTACTTCACAATATTTTACCACAAAAATGTCCTTAACAACCGCCTAGGTAAGACATAAATTTTACCGATTAAATGTAAAATAACTTTTTTTTTAAATCTCCTGGAAATTTTTATCCCTTATTTATAGATCACACGAGTTTAACTCCTTAATTATTTTAGGATCATGTTGTATTACCATTTTGGGACGCTTATATTTTTTTACAAAACTTTTTTTTACAGCACTTTTGTCGTAACAGTTCTGAATACTGACATTCTTTTTCAATTTAAAGCCAAAATATATGGATAGGCCTAAAGTATCACACACATCTTTTTTGCATTTTTATACTTAATAACTGCGGTACTTTCAAATTCTGCAAATTGTGCGCAACTCTTTGCCGTTGGAAATGACTCTCATTAAAAATTGACAAGAACTTCTGATAATTAGCTAACCGCAGTTGCACATTTCTCATTTAAATTTTATATGTATCTTAACTTTTGGTTAAGTCTGATGTTAAGGATAAAAGTTATGTGCAACTAATTGCCTTGCCGAAAAAATTGGTTTAAAGGTAACAAAAACTAGATTTCCCAAAAATTTTAAAAATGTTATAAAAAATTAAAGGTGTACACACTAAAAAATAAAGGTAGAAATTTTTAGCTAAGGTAGGATGTGATATACCCTTAGTAAGGTGTAATTTCTACCCTATAAGGTTGAAAATTATACCTTAAAGGTAGAAAATAGTATGACAAATAATTGTTTTTAATATAATTTTCTACCTTAAAAGGTAGAAAATTATACCTTATTAAGGGTATATCAAATATCCTACCCTAAGGTACTTTTTTTTAGTGTGTATATCATCCAAGGTATATTTAAAAAATCCGGAAAATGGTTTGGGTAAAATATCTGGAAAAAATATGTTTTTTCCTTTTTTTCTCGAAATTTTGCTTTTACCTGAGGTGTTTTTAACTTTTTTTCCAAATCTTTTTTTTATTTTTCTACGAGTGATGAGTAAAAAAGCTTAAAAAAATAAACATATTACAAAAATTCATACCTAAAACTTGTATGTAGAGAAAACGTTTATAGAAATTTTTATTTTTCCTCACCAGATTTTCTCTATATTCTGATCAACATCGAAAATTCTAGCAATTTTGAGGGGTGGCTGCCTGATTTTTACAAAAAATTGCTATTAACGGGTTAACTACACAATAGTTTTCAGAATTAAAAAAAAATTTTATTGACGATATCCACTTTATAAATAGTAAAAATTAATAAAATTTATAAAAGCACTTAATATGCTATTAAAATTAAAACTGCTACAGTGATGTTAATTAAAAATTATTATTATAAAAACCCTACAAAGAAAAAAAAAAAAAAAAATGAACGCTAATTAACTTTCAACTGCAAATTAATTTTTAAAATTTAAACATTAAAATCATAAAAAATTGAGATTTCTTAACTTAATCATGACATAGGTTAAAAAATATTAAGGAGATAAATGTTAAGGAGATTTGTTCTTGATATATTCTTCAGAGACAACCCATAATTTGTCAGCGGCATCTTCATCCATTATAAATGATAAATATCCAAGAGTATTTGATAGTACCTCCTCTGCAGTTGAAAGTTCTTTACCAATGGCACAATTCTCTAAATACAATCCGCCTTTACCTTCTAATTCATTGGAAACTGCAGCCCAAACAGTCGTGGAAGCCCCAGCTTCAGCAGATCTTAGCTTTACCCTTGGTGTACCATCAGAATTCATCCAACCTTTTTCAATCCAAGTTTCTTTACTTAAATGCTTTGCTAAGTTTGTCATAATAACCCCAGGCATCAATGAATTAGAAACAATACCAGAATCTTTATATCGTTTTGTTAAGGCTACAGAAAACAAACAATTGCATGTTTTTGATTGACCATAAGCATTAATAGGATCATACACTCGTCCTTTTAAATAGTTTATATCGTCAAAATCAATATTTGATAATACATGCAAAGTTGCTGATACGTTAATAACTCTGGAGTTTTTATTTAAAGCTTTTGCTCCTTCCTTAAGTGCTGGTAATAAACCAATAGTCAATGCAAAGTGACCTAAATGATTGACACCAAACTGAGATTCAAATCCATTTACAGTATATGATAAAGGGTAAGCCATGATTCCAGCATTATTAACTAAAATATGTAATGGTCTATTTTTAGCGAGATACCTTTCTACAAATCTGTTTACATTATCTAAGGAATCCAGTTCCAAATTTTCAACTTCAACTAAATCATTTCCGGTTGATGCAATAATTTCATCAGCAACTATCTGACCTTTACTTATGTCTCTGCAACATAAAACACATCTGGCACCAGCTTTTGCTAAAGCTCTAACAGTTTCAACACCAATACCTGAACTACCACCAGTAACAATTACTTCATATCCTTTTAAATCAACACCATCAACTACTTCTAAGGCCGTGGTATGCTCATTAAATTGTTTTGACATTTACAGCTACTTAAATGTTTCTATATAAAAATAAAAAAAATCATTAAACTCATTCAAAAAACCATTAAAGTTTCAAAGTAATTAATTTTACACACACACACATATATATATATATATATATATATATATATATATATATATATATATATATATATATATATATATATATATATATATATATATATATATATATATATATATATATATATATATAATTTTTATAAAGTTTTGCCTAATTTGAGTATCAGGTTAACCTATTTTTGAAGAACTTTTTTAACATGTTAGAGAACTGTTAAATAAAAAATGGATTTGTATTTAAAAAGTTTTAAATATTGGACAATTGATATTAAATTGGGCTTCAATTTTAAATAAGTGATAACTACAGGACATTAAAAACTAGATCTTCAAAATATATTACACATACACACAAAAAAAATTTAATCAAGTAATGATAGCGGTTAATTAAAAAAAAAAAATTCAAATTGACATAAATTCAAAAAATTCAAATTGACATAAATTCAAAAATGACATAAAATCTATAGCCTCAATTAAAGCATTTAAAAAAACTGTGAAACAACATTTGTTAAATCTAACCAATAAAAATATTTTTTTGTATTTTTAAGTTGTATTTTTATGTATTTACTAATACGAATATGTATGTTTAACTCAAAAATATGTAATTTTATAATAAACTAATTTTATAATTATAGATTTTACGAACTTAATCATGTAAATAAAGTTAACTATTTTAATATCAAAGGGGCAAGATGATAAGATGTATTGTCTTCTGCTTGCTCCTGTCAGAATTTAAAAAATATATTTTATTTTATTTTTATTTTACAAGTACATTGTAAAATTTTCTTTCTTTTTTGTTCATTGACGAAATATATATTGAAAAAAAAAAAAAAAAAAAAAAATTATAATTTATAAAAGTGTCTTCAAAACAAGTTAAAAACTGAAAAGTCTTCAAGTTAAAAACAAAAAATTTTTAAAACTAATCAGTAGTAAATTTTGTTCTTTTGAACGAGTTTTAAGTGTGATTTTTTGGTAAGGAAAGTGAAGAAACACTGCAATTACAAGTTTTTCTAAGCAATTAAATACCCATATTGTAAAAATATAAGTACTAATACAGTTACTATTTGTAATTGTTCTTATGCTAAACCATAAGAACAGTTACAAATACTAAAATGTATTTTATTTTATATTTTTCTATACAATACTCTTATATCTTTGAATATAAGAGCATTGTACAGAAAAAAAAATAAAAATAATAAAAAAAAATAAATAAAAAAAAAAAAAGGATTTTGTTATTCTTTAATTTTTGAACTTTAAATAAAAATTGAAACTTTTAAAAAGTTACTTTTAAATATTTTTCATAAGATTTTCCAATTTATTTTTATTGATCATATTCATGCAAAACACTGAGTTATGACTTTTTATTTACTGGGTT